AGTGAACTCTATTAGAGGTATAGATGGTTTAGTCTTTATACAAATAACCGGTTTGTACCGGATCCATTATACTTGTATATAAACAGTGTACAGAGCACTAAGTGTAATTAACAGAATCATTTTATTCTTATCTTCAATCTCTCATCGCTCTACCATCTTCTTCCTTTTCCATCTTCTCCATCGATTCTGTTCAACATATTTCACTAATATGGTATCAGAGCTATACGCTTAGCTTGTTTTCATCTGATTTTCTCTTTTCTTTTGGCGTTTTTCTGTGTGTTTGACTGGATCGAGATGGTGATTCCGATTCGCAAAACTACTCGTCGTTCGGGTAGATCTGCAGATGCTGGTGGTTCTGGTACGAAATCGAAGGCTCTGATGAGCTCCCTTGCTACGATTTCTTCCGATCCCGCTCCTGTTGTCACGATCGGCTCCGTTTCTGAACTCGATGCCGTTAATAGTCCACACTCGCCGTATTTTCTTCACAGTGCTGATCATCCTGGCTTATCCTTGGTTACTGATCGCCTTGACGGAACGAACTAAAATCATTGGAGCTCTGCGATGAAGATCGCTCTCGATGCGAAGAACAAACTTGCCTTCATCGATGGCTCTCTTCCGCGACCAGATGAAGGTAATCCTCTCTTTAGGATCTGGTCTAGGTGCAACAGTATGGTTAAATCGTGGATGTTGAACGCTGTGTCTAAACAAATCTATGGTAGTATTTTGAACTTTGATGATGCTACCATGATCTGGATTGATTTACACAACAGATTTCATATGACAAACTTGCCTAGAACTTTTCATTTGATTCAACAAGTGCAAGATCTGCGTCAGGGTTCCATGGATCTATCAAGCTATTACACAGCTTTGAAAACTCTTTGGGATCAGAGTGACGGCAGTGAACCTTCTGAAGCCTGTTTGTGTTGTTGTTCCTTCAACTGTGTGAGTAAGCGCAGATATCAGGATCATGTTGCTAGAGGTCGTCTCATTAAGTTTCTTGCTGGCTTGAATGAGTCCTACTCCATCATCAGAGGTCAAATCATCATGAAGAAACCTCTTCCTGATATTGCTGAGGTCTATAACATCTTGGATCAAGATGATAGTCAGAGACAATTTGGTGTCAGTGTAGTTCCAGCGGCTTTTTAGGTTGGGAATGTTGGGCATCATCCTGGTGTGATGAATGCTACTGTTACTCCTACTCCTGTTGGTTCTCTTAATGCTGCCTACCAGTCTCAGAGAAAAGAAAAACCTATTTGTTCTAATTGTGGTTTTACTGGCCATGTTGTTGATCGTTGCTACAAGTTACATGGTTATCCTCCTGGATGGAAACCTCGCAAACAATTTGCATCTTCTCAGTCTTCTCAATTGTCTACACCTGCTATTACAGCTCAAGTTTCTGCTCCAGTTGGTTCTGGTGGTAAACAGGCTCCTGGTTTTGAGAGTATGGTTGGGAACCTGTCTAAAGAGCAATTGCAAAACTTCATTGCATACTTCAGCTCTCATTTGGTTCCACAGTCTTCTTCTCCAGCACCTACTACAACAACTACACCAACCAACCCAGTAACGAAGCTTCTTATTCTGGTATATCGTTCTCTAACTCTACATTCAGTTTTATTGGGATTTTAACTGTTGCTCAGTGTGTGACAAATCAAAGATCTTGGATCATTGACTCTGGTGCGACTCACCATGTTAGTCATGATCGCAGTCTATTCCTTGATCTTGATGTTTCTGTTAATCAGCATGTTAATCTTCCCAATGGAAATTTCGTCATGGTAGCTGGTGTTGGTACAGTGCTTATCAATGGATGTATCAGTTTACAGAATGTCTTATATATCCCATATTTCAGGCTCAATCTGCTCAGTATAAGCTCTTTAACTGCAGATCTTGGCTCTTGTGTAGTGTTTGATCCTGATTCTTGCATGATACAGGATCCTATCAAGGGATTAACGATTGGAAGAGGTAGAAGGATTGCTAATCTATATCTATTGGATGTTGAAGACCCTGCAGATTCAAGCCAACTATCTTCTTGTAGTTTGAATGCTGTAATAGATTATGCTGTTTGGCATAAGAGACTTGGTCACACTTCTTTTTCCCGGATAGATACTCTTACAGATGTACTTGGTATTTCCAAACAAAGAAATAAAGGGATTTTACATTGTGATATTTGTCAAAGAGCCAAACAGAAGAAACTTCCTTATACAAACAGAAAAAATATTTGCTCTGCTCCTTTTGACTTACTTCATATTGATGTGTGGGGTCCCTTCTCAGTACCTACAGTAGAAGGTTTTCGGTATTTCTTGACCATAGTGGATGATCACTCTCGGGTAACATGGGTTTACTTACTTAAGTTGAAGAGTGATGTTTTAAAAATATTTCCTGAATTTATACAGATGGTGGAGACTCAGTTTGACAAGAGAGTTCGCTGTGTTAGGTCAGACAATGTTCATGAGTTGAAATTTTCAGAACTTTATAGTAAATTGGGAATCATTGCTTACCATTCTTGCCAGAGACGCCTGAACAGAACTCCGTGGTTGAAAGGAAGCATCAACACATCCTTAACGTTGCTAGAGCTCTCCTGATTCAATCCAAGGTACCTTTGTCTTTATGGGGTGATTGTATACTCAAAGCAGTTTTTCTGATCAACAGAACTCCATCACCACTATTGGAGAACAAGACACCTTATGAAAGACTGACCAAGACACCACCAGAATATGAAGACTTGAGAACTTTTGGATGCTTATGCTATGCAAGCACCTCTCCAAAGCAACGCAACAAGTTTGACGATAGGGCCAGGGCCTGTGTTTTTCTGGGTTACCCGGCTGGCTATAAGGGATACAAAGTCATGGATATTGAAAGTAATGTGGTTTACATTTCCAGGAATGTGAAATTTTTTGAAAATATATTTCCTTTTCAGAATTCCCAAGACGACACTGTAGCTACAGAGTTCTTCCCACACATTGGTACTCGTGTTGCTGATAATGGAGAACATTCTGGTGTTACAAGTGAGGGGGAATCTCATGGTGCTATTGAATTACCAAGACAGGGGGAATCTCCTGATGTTATTGAATTAGCAAGACAGGGGGAATCTCCTGATGTTATTGAATTAGCAAGACAGGGGGAATCTCTGGCCAACAATGTGGTACAAGATCCTACTACTAAGTCACACAGGGTATCTAGACCTCCTGGTTACTTGCAAGACTATCAATGTTACTCTGTGCAGAAGTCCACTGCTCATCCCATTTCAGAGGTTTTATATTACTCTATCTCTCTGATCCTTATCAAGCATACATCAATACTTTAACTAAGTATCCTACACCTACTAGTTACAGTCAGGCTAGTAAACTTCAAGATTATTGTGATGCTATGGATGCTGAGATAGGGGCTTTTGAACGTACTCACACATGGTCTGTATGTACTCTTCCTCCTGGTAAGACTGCTGTTGGATGTAAGTGGATCTACACTGTGAAATTGAATGCAGATGGCAGCCTCGAAAGGTATAAAGCACGTCTGGTAGCAAAAGGCTATACTCAGAAAAAGGGATTGGATTATGTTGAAACATTCTCTCCTGTTGCTCGTATGGCTACTATCAAAATGTTACTCTCTGTTGTTGCACCAAGGAAATGGTTTCTGGATCAGCTTGATGTTTCCAATGCTTTTCTCAATGGAGATCTGAATGAAGAGATTTACATGGTTTTACCTCCTGGATATCTTCCAAAACAGGGGGAATCTTTTCCACCAAATGCTGTCTGCAGGTTACACAAAGACATTTATGGTTTAAAGCAGGCATCACGACGATGGTTTTTGAAGTTTTCTCAGTCTTTACAGTCTTTGGGATTTCAAGGTGGCACAGGAGATGATACTTTGTTCTTGAGAAAGTCTGGAGATGTTTATATGGCAGTTCTGGTCTATGTAGATGACATCATCATAGCAAGCAGCTCATCTCAAGCCACTGCCTCTCTCACAGCCTCCTTACAAGCATCATTCAAGCTGCGTGACTTGGGTCCTCTTAAATACTTTTTGGGACTGGAAGTTGCAAGGACTTCAGCTGGGATTTCTATATGCCAACGCAAGTATGTGTTAGATCTTTTGGATGAGACAGGGCTCCTTGGTTGCAAACCATCCTCCATACCTATGGACCCTAGTCAGAAGTTGGATATGGAAACAGGGGAACTCTTGAAAGATATGGAGCAATATAGACGCCTGGTGGGTAAGTTGATATACTTGACTTTTACTCGCCCTGATATCACTTTTGCAGTCCATAAACTTTGCCAATTCACCTCTGCTCCAAGACATCCACATTTGAAAGCAGCATACAAGGTTCTTCATTATCTTAAAGGAACTGTTGGTCAGGGTATGTTTTATTCAGCAACTTCTGATCTTCAGTTAAAAGGATTTGCTGATGCGGATTGGGGTACAAATAGAGACACACGAAGATCAGTCTCTGCCTTTTGTATGTTCCTTGGTCCTTCTTTGGTTTCCTGGAAGTCCAAGAAGCAAGAGACAGTTTCAATGTCGTCCGCAGAAGCTGAATATAGAGCCATGTCTTCAGCTGTTAAGGAGATGCTTTGGTTGCGCAAACTTATGGTTGATCTATGGGTTGATACTTCTGAAGCTTCAGTCTTATATTGTGATAACACCGCAGCTATACACATTGCCAATAACTCAGTATTCCACGAGAGAACAAAACACTTGGATCTTGCCTGTCATCTTGTCAGGGAAAAAGTTCTTTTGGGGATTATCAAGACACTTCATGTGAGATCAGAGCACCAGTTGGCAGATGCTTTGACTAAACCTTTATTTCCTTCTCTGTTTAAGAGTTTGATTAGCAAGATGGGTGTTATTAACATATACACTCCATCTTGAGGGGGAATATTAGAGGTATAGATGGTTTAGTCTTTATACAAATAACCGGTTTGTACCGGATCCATTATACTTGTATATAAACAGTGTACAGAGCACTAAGTGTAATTAACAGAATCATTTTATTCTTATCTTCAATCTCTCATCGCTCTACCATCTTCTTCCTTTTCCATCTTCTCCATCGATTCTGTTCAACATATTTCACTAATAAACTCTATTCTTCTTCTGTGGTTTGGTCTGAATCTAATAATTATCTCGTTTGGTATTTTGATGAGAATTGGAAAATTTTGAAGTCTTTGTTCAGTTTAGTATTTCACTTTGCCCATTGATAATAATTGGAACTTATTACTTGACAATTCTGGTTTATTCATGTGATTGATTTGGTTTTTTTTTTTTTTTTTTTTTTTGTTTCAGATTCTAAAGAAAGAAGTCCATCTTCTTTATCAGGAGACCAATCAGAGTATGATTTTCTCATTTCTCTTTCTTTTCTCTACTCTTTGTTCAGATGTGTTTTGCTGTGATGGGTTCTCTTCTCCAATTTCAATTCCTTGGTTTAACAGTTCTTTACTTCTATTCAGTTACATGTTATAATTTCTCTGCTTAATTTAGCACTTGCATGTTGTAATTCTGGTCGTATTGCAGCTCTTGTGGTTAAATAATGTAAAGTTTCTAGCTTGCTTTATAGTACTCATTGTGGAGGTTGATCTCAAGAATGATTCAGCTTCTATTTAACTTAAACTCTTTTAGTGTAGCATCTAGAAGATCATGTTAAATCGTATCATTTTTTTTTACTTGACACTTCTGGTTTTTTTTTTTTTTTTTTTTGTCTTTTCAGGTTTTATCAAAAATCAGTGTTAATTAACAAGGATGACTAATGATGTAAGTTCCTTTATCAATAGTTTTTATTTATTTTGTGTCTATTTTTCTGCTAGCTAGCTTAGTGGTTGATGATGGTTGCACTTTAGAATTGGACCGATGAGCAATGTCGATACTTTTTTCATCTCTATGCTGTTACACAAGGATTCTCGCGCCTCATAGATTTTCTCATCCGGTTTTTATGTTAAATCAGACCGGAGTGGCAAATGAGTGACAGTTTAACCGGTAAAACCGACCCGGTCTGGTTTATATCTGCGTTGTCGAACAGTGTCGTCGTCATTGCTCTCTTTTCACATTCACGGGTCTATCTAGTGTCTACACTGAGATTTGGTGAAAGAGGTTAGCTTTTGCCTTTTGGCCTCAAGAGTCTTCGATTTCTGAAAAATCCCTTCTTGTTAAAATCGGGAATTGGTATCATATTTTTCCGTTTTCGTAGCGAATCTCTGGATGTGATTTCATTGTTTAAGTTAATGTTCTAATTGATTCTGATGCCAGAAATGTAATCATTATTTCTAGTTTAAATTTTGAAACTTTTCGTGTTTTGTTTTGATTCAGCCATGGACTTTGATGCTTCGTGTAGCTTGGTTTTATGTGGTAAATCTTCTGTAGAAACTGATGCAGCAACACGTTTGAAGAACAATAACGTTCTTAAACTCCCAGATAATACCAAAGTTTCAATCTTTTTACAATCTGAGATCAAGAATTTGGTTAAAGATGATGATTCCTTCAATCTTTCACTATTCATGAACTCGATTTCGACTCATCGGTTTGGTCGGTTTCTCATTTGGTCTCCATTCTTGTCTTCCACTCATGATGTTGTTTCTCAGTAAGCATCCATCTGTTTGGTTTCCTCTTTAAGGTTTGATTATCTTTGTGTGTTAAAATCTGATTTTGTAGTTTCTTTTAGTAACTTCTCTGAGATTCCAGTTGGTTCAGTGTGTGTCACAGATATTCAGTTTAAAGGTCGAGGTACGAGTTTTTTCTTGACAATGTTGGATTATATATAGTAAGCAAGTAAATTAGAATTAGAAAGTGAAAACCGGAATGTGTTGCAGGCAGAACAAAGAATGTTTGGGAATCTCCAAAAGGTTGTCTTATGTATTCGTTTACCGTAGAAATGGAAGATGGTAGAGTAGTGCCTTTGATACAGTATGTGGTGTCTCTTGCTGTTACTGAGGCAGTGAAAGATGTTTGTGACAAGAAGGTATGTTCTTGAAATAACCTTTTTGTTGTGTTTTTGATCCCTTGAATCATAAATTTGGTCTGAGTTTTGAATTTCATCGATTTTCAGGGTTTGTCGTATATTGATGTTAAAATAAAGTGGCCAAATGATCTATATTTGAATGGCCTTAAGGTTGGAGGCATTTTGTGTACCTCCACATACGGATCAAGGAAGTTCCATGTCAGTGTTGGTAATAAGCATTATTACTACTCTTTAGAAGTTGGTGACTCTATACGAAAGTCAAAGTATCTTTTAGAAGTAACACTGCTTGTAGTCTTGCTCTACTATTGATTTAAAAGAAATTGGCAATTTGATCCTTATTGCAGGTGTGGGATTGAATGTGGACAACGAGAAACCGACCACATGCTTAAATGCAGTACTAAAAGAAAATTGTCCTGCATCAAATCTACTTAAAAGAGAAGAAATTCTTGGCGCCTTCTTTCATAAATTCGAAACATTCTTTGATCTATTCATGGAACAAGGTAATGTAATCCTCTTGATCATGGAGACTGCTTAAAAAGATTTAGTCAGCTGTTTCTTCATCTTTGTCACTTTTGAAGTATTTTCCAAACAGTATTTATTAATCATTTATTTAAGTGAGATGAGAGTAAGAGAAATAATCATCTTATTATCTAGTTTTGAGACTATATAATCATTTGACATCATCGCACTGCACTTTACAGGTTTTAAATCTCTCGAGGAGCTTTACTATAGGACATGGCTTCACAGGTAATGGTTATATCTGTGATTGCAATATTTTTGTGCTTGTCATTGAAGGGTTTCTGTAATCTGAATCTGAAATTCTGAACTGGTTTTGATTTTGTACTTATCCCATTTGTCACTAGCTGAACTAAATGGCAAAACTTCATCAATTAGCAAGTATTTGGAAATGTTTTTCGATTGGGAACTATGTATTATAACATAATTGCTTGGCTAAAATGACCGTTTTATTCTCATTTGTATGTTTTAATATACAATGTGGCATTTGCCTGCAAGAAACTAAGATCTCTTAAAGTTAAGAAGACGACAATGTTACTTACCAACTATTCACTGCTAACCACGTAGTTTTTATTGTCTGGTGGCATTAGTGTTTTTTCTTAATACATTCACATTGAGATTTGGGCATACAAACTTTACCATGTATTTACTTACACATGTGCAGCGGACAAAGAGTGATTGTTGAAGAAAAAAACGAGGACCAAGTTGTTCAAAATGTTGTGACTATCCAGGTAGGATGATTCTTATAGATTGGTTATTATACAATCGACTCATTGTAATATGGTGCTTTGATCCTCATTGCATCTCCTTCAAAATTTCCAGGGTTTGACTTCTTCGGGATATTTGCTAGCTATTGGAGATGACAATGTAATGTATGAGCTTCATCCTGATGGCAATAGGTAATATTTTGAGCATGTGCTATCGAAAGTTTAATCGATAAAATGGATAACATTACAGTTCATGTTTAAGCTAATATGGTGTATCTGTTCAACTGCAGTTTTGATTTTTTCAAAGGACTGGTCCGAAGAAAACTATGAACCAAAGATTTCTTGAAGCACCTTCTGGTGGATGCTGATGTTATTCAGCAATTAGCACCATTAACACAAAAATAAACAAACTGTTTTTATATATACTGTGGATATTGTCCTTAGTTACAACTTTTCTTTTCTTTTTTTCCTTTTTTTTGTGTGTATGTTTTGACTGTATTACAAACATGCAATACAAATTATTAGAACAAGTAGTAACTTTCTTCAAAAGTAGGACATTCCAGTCAATGTAACTTTGGATTTCTCATTGTGATTCACCATTCTTTAATATCCCTTTTGATTCACATGTCTTCATTTGCGATGGCAACACAAATGTTCGATGATCACAAAGTTCGTTGCGACAATACATTCCTCTTAATCATGAGAGAATCATAAAATCTCTGTTTAGAATAAGATGATTTTGGCCCAAACTGTTTATTGAAGATAAAATTTCTCAAAAATTCTACTTCATATGACAAAACTTTCAGATTGTATCTATAAGCTATTATAACAACTGACAAGACAGTTATTTCTTTGTAATATTCACCATTTTGTATCACCAAATATGTATAATCTTTAGGTAGTCGTCACCTACTACATATACATGGTAATAATATTGAGGAAAAATCAATTTTTTTATCCTGATAAAAACTTTGCTTTTTTCTTGGGGAACATGAAACCCTGCAGAAATAAGACAAAAACTGTAAATTTACCTTACTTTTTTTCTTGAAAAACCCATTTAATAATGTCTTCTGAAAATTAATCTGCAAAAAAAAATCAACCGCCAAAAAAGTGTTTTCTGAAAATCATCAACCCATTTAATAATGTCTTCTGAAAATTTTTCAATCGGTGCAACTTATACTTCTACAGTGTCATGTAATGCACAACTATTTATTATAGTTATCGAAAAAGTGAAATAGAGCAAAGCATAAGACCATTAGTAGTGGCAAATGTGTTTATGTGGGTGTAAGTATTTTTTTAGTATTATAATTTAAAGTAAAAGAGAAAAGAGAAAGAGAAAGAAAGAGAGAGATAGAGAGAAAAAGTGTTACACCTGAGTGTAAACTTATACCCGGGTGTGAAGAGAGAGACAATTTTTTCGTTTTTTTAATACCTACACTCCAAGACTTACACCCACCTGCTTGTGCCACTGCTAATGCTGTTATATCGTTTGGTTTAATATCAAAAACACACAACTAGAGATAATTTTGTGTGTTTCCAATAGCTACATATAAAGGTAATGATACCCAAAACAAGGGAAGACTTTTCACGTCACTAATCTTCTATCAAATCTATCAGCCCATACTTGTACTCAGACTTCTCACGTTTGTCTTCATAGGTTATCATCACCTCTTTTTGCCTACTCTTTTTTATTTATTTTACTTATTCACCAAATATCTATATGAGTACACGTTTTATGTTTCATGATGATACTTTTTTTTTTTTTTTTTTTTTGTCATCCTAAATTAAAAAGAGCTCAAAAGAGCTATTCCTGAGGAATGTTGTTTATATAGATGATGTGTAGCGGTTCCGTACGAACTTTTCATGCCAGATTGTCCGCTTTAGTATTAGCACATCGAGAAATTAGAGAAAGAGAGAAATTGGAGAACTCTTCCTTGTCGCTCTGAAATTCTTCTAAATACACTGAGAAGGCCGGCCATTCAGTTGGAGAAGACAACATCTTCACCAAGTCAGAACAGTCTGTAAAGAAAACTACATCTTGATTATCTGCACCAATCATACACTTCATCGCCCACAAGAAGGCCTCGAATTCTATATGTAACGGAGATAGGCTTCTACGGAGGTTATTAATTATACTCATATTAATAATTACAACTTACGTATTAGAAGATCGACTAACATATTTTGTGACACGTTTTATGTTTCATGATGGCTTCATTTCATGCCACTTGTTTAATACTCAGTTAATTAAGAATCATTTTGAAGACTTATTATAAATTGCTACAGTATGTTTTACCAAAATAATTGTTTTCACTACGTTGTATGTTTTATAATCAAATCAGAGTCAGATTTTGGTATAAGGCCATGCGCAATGGCGCATTTTCTCCCCGGGTGTAACTATTAAAGTAATCAAAAATAAGAGAAAAGTTGTCTCTTTCCTCACATCCGGATGTAACTTTACACTCGGATGTAAGACACTCGCTCTCTTTCTCTCTCTTTTTTTCTCTCTTTCTTTTCTCTCTCTCTTTAAATTATAATAATAAAAAAAAATTTACACCCATACTCACACTTACCCCATTATGGATGCTCTAAGAATATATACTCAAATAAACAAAAAGAAAAACTCAATTACTGTTTAGTTACGTCAAAACGTGTTATCAGGAATTAAAAGAGAAGTCAAATATGTGAATTGACTTTAGCTAAGAACATGCAAAAAACAATTCAAACCTCAGTGGCAAAATAGAAACAAAATTAGCTTTAAAATCAAAGCTTTTCTGATAAAGTTTTTCTGATCAAATTTTTCTTGGGACTCTGCTTCTATCTCTCTGCCTCCCAATTTTTTTCGTCTTTCACATGTGTAAAGCGACTTAAATTCATATATATAAATTTTAATGAAAAAATAAAGTTATTATAAAATAAGACAAAACAGAACCTAAAGACTAAAGAGACAAGACACAAGGTACATACATCTCTGCGTCTGAGAAACATAAGAAAAACATTAAAAAAAAACAATTTACTTTTTTTCCTTGTATGCTAGTATCATTTTTTTTTGTTATATATATACACTTGGTCCTTCGAATTGTGTTTTATGTTGATAATTGTCCATCGAAATTTGCAATTTTACAAAACAAAAACATAATTGAATTTATTGGTATATTTTCACTCTCTCACTCTTGTTACATTGTATCCTCTAATAATAAAAAAATGATTATCATTACGTTATAAGTGTCATTAAATTGAAGAAGGATCATTGAAAAATAAATTTGGATAAATCAGTAAGAATAAATTAGAAAAAACTAACGAATAAATAAAGTGCAACAACAACATCTATTTTTCTCATAAGGGTGTTTAATCCGGATGAAATGAAATAATACTAAATATTTGAATTTAAAGAAAAGAAAAGTAGAAATCAAACTAAATATTAATCTGTTTTATTTATATTTTCCCATTATGTGAATAATCGAATTAAATTCTAAACAAAATAAAAGACATTTATGGCATAACAATTTTGACCGCCAAACGGACACATTCACTTCCCTGTTCCACATGAACAACTAGTGTTTTAAAATAGTATATGTTCACCAACTATTTAACACTGGCTATAATTGGTAACCAATTTTAAAGCTGTACAGCTTTGACAGTTACCAATCACAAAAACTTTATGAAAATCGGTACACTATAAAAAAATAAAAATAAAAAACTGTTTTTGGACAAAAACAAAAATAAATTAAAACGGTTACGGTTAAATACAGTTACGATTAAATACGGTTATAACGATTACGGTTAAATACGGTTACGGTTACGGTTACAACAGTTACAGATAATTATGGTTATAGTTATTTGATGACTACAATACGGTTAATATCGGAGGCAAAATCTTACGAGTTACCTAACTTATTATAATACTTTTCATAAAATCAAAAAATATGTTACAAACCAAGTTTTCTTCATTTCGAGCAAAATAAGAGTATAACATATTTGTTTGAGAAAAAGACCATTTTTTATAACGTAGATTTTTTCATATGCGGTATCATTTACTTTTTTGAAAATCTTAATCTGAATATTCGATAATTTTTTTTGCATTATATGGAGTTACAATTATATTTTTAAAGTTTTAACTATGCGGTTAACCATATGGTTAAATAACGGTTTTCATATGTTTACCGTTAATTAACGGTTACGGTTAATATATTTTTTAACTGTAACTAATTATTTTTTACGATTACGGTTGAGAAACGGTCCGGTTACGGTACAACATATGGTTACGGTTAGCTTTTGGTCATGCCTAGACCATAACCGTATTTTGGATCGTAACTAGACCGTTTTTCAACTGTAACTGTTTAAAACGGTTAAAAACTATAACCATTCACCGTAAAACTAAATTAGCAACGGTTAAAAAAAATATACTAACCGTAACCGTTAATTGCCGGAAACGTATCAAAACCGTTATTTAACAGTACGATTAGCCGCACGGTTAACCGTATTATTAACCGCATAATTAAACTTTATAAAATATAATTGTAACTATGTATAATGTAAAAAAAAATGTCTCGAATGTTCAGATAAAGATTTCCAAAAAAGTAAATAATACAGCCTATGAAAAAATCTCATTAGAATAATGGTTTTTTTCTCAAACAATTATTTTGGAATATTATATTACTCAAAATAAAGAAAATTTTATTTACTATAGGACTAGTAAATTCATATTATTATTCTAAAAATAAAATATTGTTTGTTCTATATAATCTTAATTTTCATATGTAATTATATACTAAAGTATATTTCTATATAATTTTTTCTTTCTTTCTAAATTCTTAATATTATTTGTTATGTGTACCGCTATGATGTTTCCAATCAGAATAAATTTTTAAAATTTGTTCTGCGTTATTTTTTTTACAGCTTTCGTGTTTTATTCTTTTGTACAGCTTTATACTATTCCCTAACAGCTAACAGTTCCAGCTAACCGCTCTAACTAACAGCTAACAGCTTGTTATCAATCAGATCCACTATAAAATTTGATACAGTTGTGGACCAAAAAAATAAAGTTTGATATTGTAACGTGAACATGATCCGTAGTTTGCATGGAAATAGATGAACTTGGAACAATTGCATGTTCATAAATCATAAGCATACCATATCATCTTAACTATCCTAATATTCTTGAGAAATTTTTAATTCTCACTAATTTTCTTTTGCTTTGGCTCTCGTTCGATTTTTTTGGATTTTATTCATATATTTGAAAAAATAAAAGCATCTAAACCAAATTAGTCAAAATTTTCATAAATAGCGGAGCAAAGGGAATCATAAAAAAAGAGTAATTATATATATATATATCAAATTTGAAAATTTTCAAATGAGATTCCAACCGAGAAAAATGTCTAAACATTTGTCCTTTAATTGCGATATGACCAATAAAATTGTACAAATCAGAAGATGTCTCGTCGACAATACGATTGATAGCCCACTGGATAAACTCTGCTTCTCCCTCTCACAATCATGCCGCCAGATCAAAAATACTCAATAAAAATTAGCAATATTCAGTATTGGGACAAGAGACATTAATTGCAAAAACATTAAAACCAAAAATAAGAAAACAGAAACAAATAACC